CTGTCGGCAAGAGGCGGTAATGCGGGCTCAAGAACGCTCTCGACCTTTATATCCGTACCTGGGATGGCGCCAATACCCATAGCCGGATTAGGAATAAGAACCTCATCACTAGCCATGGAGAAATATATGAGAAATATGAGGGAAAATGAGAAAAATATGAAAAAAAAGTGAGTGTGTGAATTAAATTGAGTGAAAACCCCAAAAAACAAAAACCCTAGGAGAAAGAAAGTAAAGAGAAAGTGAAAACTCAAATGGGGAGAGAGAAAAGTGTGGGTAGATGTGTGAAAATCTAAGAAAGCACAAGAAAACCCCCCAAATTCAACCAAATCAAGTTTTGTTCGGTTCAAAATGTAGAGGAGTAAGTGAGTTTTACGAAGAAAATCGTGAGGGTTTGAGGATTTTGTTAAAAGAGGAAGAATCTAGAGAGAGGGGAAGGGTAGAGAGAGAGGAGAGGGAGTTTTGGATAGGTGTGTGTGTGTGGAAATGAAGATTGGGCTGGTTTAAAATAACCGTGGCTCGCGAAAAGACTGATCTGCCCCACTGTGCGACCTGGTTGGCTCCATTGGGGCTCGGTTGTGCTTCATTTATGCCCGGCCGACCCCAAGTGTTTCACAGTGCAGAACCACAACAAAAATAGAGAAAACAAAACAGAAGCAGAAATAAAAGATAGAGAGGAAGAAAAAAGAAAAATGAGAAAAGACAGGAAAAGAGGCAGAGAGGGAAAAAATAGTGAGGAAAAAGAAGAAGAAGAAGAAGAAGAAGAAAAGGAAAAGGAAAAGGAAAAGAAAAATAGAAAGAGAGAGAAATAATTTGTTCTTTTTGTTTTGTCGATGTTTTTATATAATTGAGCCCATTTTCGAACAATAGGCAAAATTGATTTTCAAATGGTTAATTCGAGCATCGTTTTGTTTCTTTTGATTCTACCTTGGTTCAGTGGTAAAATTTGTATTGGAAGCTTCGTTAATTTGTGTTAATGCTTTGTACCTCGATTTACGTTTACGTTTTGTACCTTGACTTGGAGTGTCAGGACCCAAACTCGTCCTTATGGGTTTAGCGTCATGACAGACCAATAATCATAGATTACCTACGGCCTCCATTGGAATAAATCAAATTGATATAAATTATGGGGCTTAGCGGAAGCAAATTAAATATAAAAGAGGTCCATCGAGCTATGCATAAATGAAAAGTTCACATTAGCACTATACATCCATTACAAAAGTAAGTGCATATATTTATATACATAAATATTCAAAAGAAAAAGTTCAGCCACAATCCAAACTTGTCAACATGTACAAATTAAAACCCCTATGACCAAAATTTAACCAAGATTTAAAACAAAAGGGGGTTTAGACTTCGCTTGGTTCTTTGCGAGACCAAGTTGGCCCCTTTACAGGAGCTCCAAAAGGGCTAACCACGGGGTGACTCCGAGGCAATCTCTATCCTTGATGTTCAACTTGCTCACCTACATATATATACATAAATAGTGAGCTAGTGCCCAATGAGCAATAACAGAATAAAGAGGTTATATGAATGAAGTTCCACACCAGTACAAATATCAATTGGATTAGCTATCATGTCAATCCTTCGCGATGAACAAAGCATTGATCGATAGCATATTGTATACAATTTCGATTTCAATTCAATTCTCAATGATCTGTGTTATCCCAATAACAATTCTTATTCAATGACAAATTACGTGGTACATCCAATACAGTAACAATGTATCAATAGCAATGGGACCTCAAGGGTCAATTAATATATCATATTCAATTATCTAATGGGCCACGGTATTTTTTCGCTCGAGCGAGAGCCAATAGGCCATGGTATTGTATCCCCCGAGCAAGGGCCTATTGAACGATGGGCCATTGTATTAATTTCCCCCAGGCAAGGGCCTATTTAACAATGGGCTACGGTATTAATTTGCCAAAGGCAAGGGCCTATTTAACAATGGGCCATGGTGTAACGAGTTGAATCGAATTGAATTTATACTTTAATCTCAGTTGGGGATTTATATTAAATTATTAAACTCCATTCATTTTGAACCCAATTGATTGAATCGTGACTCCTTAGTAACCATATAATATTGTTATGGTTTTATTATTATTATTTGGTTACCATAAAAGAGTTGTGAATGTTTATGGTGTGTACCATTAAACGAAATATATTTTGTGATGAGAAAATATTATATTTACTTTTGTCATTAAAGATGTCGAAATGTATTTTTAATTGATATATATATATATAGGTGTATATGTATATGGTTAGATATTTGTTTAGTTTAAAAAAACAAATCTACAAATAGTAACCAAATAGATTTTTTGTTCAACTTTTGGGAATTCTTGGAGTTCTTGCCATGAGGAAACAAGAGAAAAGAGGTTCCAAGTTGGTTTTTCTTAGGTTTGATCTAGTGTAAGTCATTTTTGACCCCTAGTCCTTTAGATCAAAACGTAGAGGGCGGAAAAGGCGTCGTTTGGCTCCAAAAAAATTTAATTTATGCTGCCAAAAAGTTTGAAAGCTTCTTGGCTCGAGGTAGGGATTTTTCCTACACTTCTTTATGTACTTTTGCTTGATTATATGGAGCTTAGAGTTGTATATAATTTGATTAGAATTTTTAGAAAATTTGTGATTTATTTGCTTAAAAGAGAAATTTTGAGAAAAATAAAGAGTTGATGCCCAAATTGCGAAAGTGTAAACTTGGAATATGTTGGTAAGGTTATGAAAGAGCTATGTTTTAAATTTGAACAAAAACGGACTTCGATTCGATTGGTTTTGAATTTTTTACCGGTTTGCGACCAAAAGAGCATTTTTAAAGAAAACAAAGGAATTATGTTTAACTTTTGGGGCTTTTGATCAAAATAAGATATCATAGTTGAATTATGCTTGGAGAATGAGTTTGAAAAGAAAATGATATTTTCTTAGGCATTAACGGTATTATTTTGCTTAATGTATCTGTTGGAATAAAACCGATACGTTTAGAAATGGACCTTGAAAGGTTACCGGACGTGATTATGATATGAACAGTAGTGTAGTTGTTCATATTTAATGAGATGTGGAATAGATTGTATTTATCAAAATTTTTAGAATTTAATTGTTTAAATATCTGTTTAGAAATATCTGTTTGGGCTATCGGTGGAGGATAGCTATGATTGTTATAGAAAGGCATCAGACTTAGGTAAATCGAACCACATTTCTCATTTGTTGCATTGGACATTGCATTACATTCATTTCATTAGAAATGTATCAGTTTTTGAGAAATGTTTGTAAATGTATCTGTTTGTGAAAAGATGAATACTTGGTGAATCTGGGTAGGGGGTGTGGAACCACGTGGTTAGGTGTCGAGCCTTCTAGTTTACTGGTAAAAATGACAGTGGTAGTGCATTAGGGCCTACTTGCAGACACTCACCTAGAGATTCACAAAGCCTGTATTCATGTAACCGATATGGTTTAAAATGGAAATGGATTTATATCTGTTATTGTATCTCAACATTTCATGCTTGATAAAAAGAGAGATAAAATATTTTATCATGAGCATGGCATGAGCATACTTCTCTTTAGTCTTGTCATGGTCTATATGTTGTGTAGTATATCTCTACTGGGTTATGGCTTACCCTATAAGGAAAACCATTTCAGGTACAGGTGATATGCCTCCGCCATGGCACTGACTTGGGAGGACTCGGAGTTGACGCTCCATTTTTGTTTTATTGTTATTTGTTGAATGTAAGCCCAGGACTGTATTTGCATTGAGTTGAAACTCTATTTTGTGTAACCAAGAATGTTCTTGGATAAATTTGTAAGCTTGTAGGGCACTTATTATCTGTTTGGCTTCCATTTCATACTTGTTGTAAAATGCATGCTTGGGATTGGAACTGGGGTATTGAGATGTGAACAACATGTATTTGGTATTTGAGATTTAATGGAAATGGATGTATGAAATAGTTAGCTATATATATATATATATGTGTGTGTGTATGTGTGTGTTTGTCTATCAGGTGAGTTTTGTTGCATAAATAGATATATCCTGCCCAATTTTCGGGGCGTTACAACTTGGTATCAGAGCGTACCAGGTTCGAATACTTTGGGTACGTGGAGAGTGGTTAGTACCACAGTGGGTTTATCTCGCTTGATAGAGATATCTATATGATAAGGTGCTATGTGATAACATGCTTATGTGATTATATGGGTATGGGGTTTGATTTCTGAGATGTTGATTGGGTCTGTGAGTTCCTAGAAGTCCAGTCAGAAGAGCACTTGATCACTGTTATTTCTAATTAGAACTCTAGCAACGTCATGAGACAATCATTAGCTAGAAAGAAAATCTGTATGTGCTTATGCGACTGTGTTTATATGAAATGAATTAACTGTTGTCCATTGCCTTTGGACGTGAGTGAGTTAGCTTCGGCATAATTATGACTGTGCCAATCTCGAGTGTTACCTTTATTAGGATGTCAGGACGTGGAAGGGGCAATGGTAGGCATGCTAGGCCCAAGAGGCACAAGATGCCAATACCGGATGAGATTCTGGCGCAGGAGGAGGGAATAGGGTACGCATATATGGCTAAGCCAGCTGGGCAATAGGCCATGGGTGCTTTGGCACAAGAGATAGCAGGGGAATTGAACATACTAAGGGTTGAGAACCTAGCACAGGCCCCAGCTGCCCCAGTTGTAGAGACAGGACCACTCCTGCTAAAAAGGGAGTTCTTCCAGATCAATCCGAATGTTTTTGTGGGAGATCCTAAGGAGCCGCTGAAGGCTGATGAGTGGTTAGAGCAGACGGTTAAGACATTCGAGATACTAGACATTGAGGACGACGCTTTGAGAGTGACTTTGGCATCCTTTAAGCTGAAAGGAGAAGCGGGTCAGTGGTAGAAATACGTGCGAGAACATATTGGAGTGACCTGGGAGGCCTTTGTCAACACTTTTCAGGAGAAGTATCTGCCCGCTACCGTTAGAGAGAAGTTGAAGGAACAGTTCAAGAACCTCAAATAGCATCTTGGCACACCGATGGCGGAGTTCGAGGCCACTTTTGCTAGTTTGTCCAGATTTGCTCCTGAGCTTATGGCTACAAAAGAGCGCCGTTGTATTAAGTTTGAGACTCGACTGAGAGATGCACTTGCCTACTGTGTGGGCGGGTCTATGATGAGGGAGTATAACCTTCTTATCGAGGCAGCGGCATATATGGAAACCCAGTTAGGAGCTGGAGAGAAGAAGATGAGGGGTTTCAGGCAGAGAGGCCAGAAGATACAGGGTGAGACCCAACATAACAAGAGGCAGAAAGGTTTTACACCACAACAGTCTCATGGGGCACAGTCTAGGTCTACTTTTCCAGTGCCAAGTTCAGGGGTAGGGGGAGGTGGCCAAGGAGGATTTTCTTGTTTCAAGTGTGGCCAGTTGGGTCACAAGTCCTTTTCTTGCCCATAGAAGGAGAGAGGACAGCGGTCTGCTCCATCTTCAATCCGCCCACCAAGCTAGAGTTAGGGGGAGGGAGCAGTCTTTGACTTACTTTCAGTATAGACAGGCAGGACACATGAAGAGGTACTGTCCACAGTTGGGTGGCACACCTGGTGCATCTAGATCGAGGCAGACTCAAAGTCACCAGCTAGCATAGTCGGCACAGGCCTCAAGGGTCACTCCGGGAGCCTCTTCAGCTCAATCTGTACATCCGACTTATGCTTCAAGAGGGAAGCAGGTGGATCAGAGACCTACTAAGCATGTGTATGTTGTTACCATGCCAGAGTTAGTGCCAGCACCTTCGGTTGTGAGAGGTACCTTCTTGTTCTGTAATTCTATTACCAATGTATTGATTTACACGGTTTTTCTTTCGTTAATACCAGTTAGTGTATATAAGTGTGTATGGATTGTTTTGTTTCGTTTTTCTTTCGTTAAGCCATGATTTTGATTCAGGTCAGTATGGAATCAATGTCCAGTTCAGAGTTCAAAATTCAATCATTCTCAAATTTAGTCAAACAAAATTGTTTTCAAGCTCAAAGTGTTATGCCAGTTACACCATTGCTGTGCAAAAAAAAAATGAAACTGATTTTATTGAAGTCAGGAGATGACATCCCTGATTGCAAAGATAACAAAAAAAAAAAAGGGAGGATCTTGTTTTTTTATGACGGCCACATGCCAACTTCACTTACTCGACTTTCCTGCCGAGCTCTTTCTCTTTTTTTCATCTTGGGAGACCCTTGAAAGCCCTGCCTCAATGCGTACAGGACCACCGAGAGAGTTGACTCCCTGCTGGCTGTCAAAGGCAAAGTATGAAGGTGCTCCGAATCGGGCCATGACGGTGGTCTTCTACCCTCGAACCCGCCAAGGGGCGCTGCCCCGTGGACCCCCACGAGTTGACCGGGCAGCTCGACCCCCGATGTACTCAGCGAAGTGGCAAAACATGAAAGAATTAACTTCCAATACAACTCTGCAAGGTACAATTCAGGTTGAATTTGCATCTAAAGGTTTGGAGACATTACCTGTTCGAAACACACCACTTGTGATTACCCAAAAATGTAAAAAAAATAAAAAAATAAAAAAATAGAGAATATTTGGTAGGTGTTATGATTTGTTTTTTTTGGGTGGGGGAGATGGAATATAGATTATGATGATGTGTGTGAGTGGACAAATATATTTGGTTTTAGAGAAAAAAATGATTTTGAAAAGAGAGAGAGAGAGAAGTGGGATGTGAAGGTGGAATTTCTCATTGGACCATCCCATGTGTCCTTTACTTTCTATTTGGTTGGACTTAGCTAGCCATTATCTCTCTCTCTCGATAAAAGAAGAGGGAATGAGGGACAGAATTTGTTAAAGCTAAAAAAAAGACACACATGGAATGGGGCTATTAAAAACAACACTTATCTCTCTCTTCGGGGGTGGAGCATTTTCGAATAATAAAAAAAAGAAGATAAAGAGACACAACATCTCTCTCTCTGAGAAAATGTATTCGTTTCCTCGACCTGGTACGGTCACCATCTGTGAAATCAACAGAGACTTGATTACGGCCGAGAACCTCTCAGACGATCAAGCCAAGGAAACTTATGCCAAAGTTCTCGGAATTGTATTTAGTGCGGTTTCTTTTCGGACTGATCATCTATTACCATCACCGAATCTCGAACAGGGTTTGCAACAACTAGGAAGATTGATGAGAGTGTTTAGAGGAACAGTTGGTCAGCAGCACTGCAGGGTTTTTTTTTTAGCAATTCCCTTAAACGCCTTTTTCATCCGAATGATGTAAAATTGTTGCCAGAGGTTGATCTTCATGGAGTGAGTTGGCATCGACATAAGCATATTTTAGCATTCATTTCTGGGCCAAATCATGTTACAATTCGTGATTATGAGGATTCAGCAGAACGGAAGGAACCATGCAATTTGACCCATGAATCCCAAAGAGATGTTAAGCTCCTTGAGTGGAGGCCAAATGGTGGGATGACACTTTCTGTAGCATGCAAGGGTAGAATTTGTATATGGACTGCTTCTTATCTTTGCAATGCGGCATCTGTGAGATCTGGAGTTACCTCTGGCACTATTGCTAGGGGCACCGGAACTCGATGGACTCTAGTGGATTTTCTTCGAAGTCACGATGACGAACAAATTAGTGCACTTTCTTGGAGTCCAGATGGAAGATATTTGGCATCTGGCTCGTATGAGGGCTCGTCATTCACCATCTGGGATGTTGATCAAGGTCGAGGCACACCCATTCGACAGGGATTAGGCGGCATATCAATGCTAAAGTGGTCTTCCATTGGAGATTATTTTTTTCGCAGCAAAGTTGATGGGACATTTTATCTTTGGGAGGCAAACACATGGACATCAGAACCTTGGTCCTCAACCAGTGGCTTGTCACGTTGAAGCTGAGAGGAATTTTGACATCAAATCACGGAATTTTGAAATGGCAAGAATAAAAGGAAATCTCAATGAGATTGCTAATGCTTGTCAAGAAGGTGGTGAAAGAAGGTGGCATCAAATTGAACTCAATTTTGAACCTAAGGTTTTAGACCATAGTTCTTAAGATCAAAATGAAGAGCTTGGTGAGAGCAACGTTTTGACCGGTGGACATTGAAATCCAACAAAGTTGGAAATTGGGGTTTTTGCTTGTTTCTCCTTCTAGCTTGAGGTAGGGATTTTTCCTACACTTCTTTATGCACTTTTACTTGATTATATGGAGTTTAGAGTTGCATATATATTGATTAGAATTTTTGGAAAATTTGTAATTTATTTGCTTAAAAGGAAAATTTTGAGAAAAATAAAAAGTTGATGCCCAAATTGCGAAAGTGTAAACTTGGAATATGTTTGTAAGGTTATGAAAGAGCTTTGTTTTAAATTTGAACAAAAACGAATTTCGATTCAATCGGTTTTGAAATTTTTACCGGTTTGTGACCAAAAGAGCATTTTTAAAGAAAACAAAGGAATTATGTTTAACTTTTGGGGCTTTTGATCAAAATAGGATGTCATAGTTGAATAATGCTTGGAGAACAAGTTTGGAAAGAAAATGATGTTTTCTTGGGCATTAACGGTATTATTTTGCTTAATGTATCTGTTGGAATAAAACCGATACGGTTAGAAATGGATCTTGAGAGGTTACCGAATGATATTGTGATATGAAAACTAGTTTAGTTGTTCACATTTGATGAGATGTGGAATAGATTGTATTTATCATAATTTTTATGGAATTTAATTGTTTAAATATCCGTTTAGAAATATTTGTTTGGGGCTATCGGTGGAGGATAGCCGTGATTGTTGTAGAAATGCATGAGACTTAGGTAAATTGAATCACATTTCTCATTTGTTGCATTGGACATTGCATTACATTCATTTCATTGGAAATGTATCTTTTTTTGAGAAATGTTTGTAAAGATACCTGTTTGCGAAAAGATGAATACTTGGTGAATCTGGGTAAGGGGTGTGGAACCGCGCAGTTAGGTGTCGAGCCTTTCAGTTTGCTGGTAAAAATGATAGTGGTAGTGCATTAGGGCCTACTTGCAGACACTCACCTAGAGATTCACAGGGCCCGTATTCATGTAACAGATATGGTTTAAAATGGAAATGGTTTTATATTTGTTATGCACCTCAGCATTGTATGCTTCATAAAATAAAAAGAGATATAAACTATTTTATCATGAGCATGGCATGAGCATACTCCTCTTTAGTCATGTCATGGTCCATATGTTGTGTAGTATATCTCTAATGGGCCGTGGCTCACCTTATAAGAGAAACCATTTCAAGTACAAGTGATATGCCTCCGTCAAGGCACTGACTTGGGAGGACTCAAAGCTGAGGTTCCATTTTTGTTTTATTGTTATTTGTTGATTATAAGCCCAGGGTTGTATTTGCGTTGAGTTGAAACTCTATTTTGTGTAACCAAGAATGTTCTTGGATAAATTTGTAAGCCTGTGGGGCACTTATTATCTGTTTTGCTTCCATTTCATACTTGTTGTAAAATGCATGCTTGGGATTGGAATTGGGGCATTGAGATGTGAACAGCATGTATTTGGCATTTGGGATTTAATGGAAATGGATGTATGGAATAGTTAGCTATATATATGTGTTTGTCTATCAGGTGGGTTTTGTTGCATAAATAGATATACCCTGCCCAATTTTCGAGACGTTACACATGGTACTAATTTCCCCCAGGCAAGGACCTCACTAAAGGATGCCATGAGTTTACTTTCAAAAATGAACTTCATTCATTAGTAACAAATAATACTTCAATAAACCAATCAATCAATTATATATTGACTTCGTTAACAATAACATTTTTGAAAATAAATATTACTTGAACATATCTTTATAAAGTTATTACTCACAGTGGTTTATGTTGTCATTAAACCTCGGACGTCCACCTAAACAAAATACATAACAAAATACAATTGAGGCACCAACTCATTTTAATTCAATTCTCCATATGTGTTACTAGCTTGTTCCATGATTATATAAGTCCAAATGGTGCCTAAGAACACTAGGAGTGACATGAGGATGCAAATATGCACTTAAAAGAGTTGGTAAAATTTTGTTGAAAACAGGGTCTCCGCTCGAACGTAACTTCCTACGCTCGAGCGGGGATAAAAAACAAAGGTAGTCGCTCGAGCGTAACTTCTATCGCTTGAGCGGTCTGCAAAAGTACTGGTTACATGAAATTCCTGCTCAACGATCGCTCGAGCGGAAGACTGAAAGAAAAAGGGTCCTCGTTCGAGTGCCACTTTGGTCGCTCGAGCGGCCTGTAAAATTTTATAAAACTTCTGGGAGCTCGATTTTCACACTCGAGCGAGGCTTTTCTCGCTCCAGCGGACAATACGAATTCTGGAATTTCCAGAACTGTGTTTGAGCTTCAAGGTTGATATTCAAAGCCTCAAAACTTGTGTTTTTGGTACAAAAACTTGGAAAATCATTACATAACATAAATATACTTCCAATGTAGAACCATTTGATCG